AGCAAGAAGAGAAATAACTGCACTACACTTGATATCAGTGTTCTGGATGCTTCAATTTTTTTGGAAACAGAGAAAAATAAAAAGAAAATAAAAGATTGGCAAAATGAAATACAGCTTTGTAGCATGCAGTTTACCAAAGACACAGATGAATTCACTTTTAAAAAGATGAAAAACACTGGAAGAAAGATCATGTCTTTAGTAAGTGGTGCTGGGAATCATCTTTCCCAGGCCAAAGACCTGCGGAACTAGGCCCACGTGTCTTAGCATGCACTGCACTAAAGGGAAGTGGATCGAAGATCTAAATATCAAAACAGAAACACCAAATCTGCTGGAAGACAGAATAGGCAGAACTCTTGAAAACATTGGCGTAGGCAAAGACTTCATAAACGAAACTCCAATCACATGGGAAATACTATAGAAAATCAACAACAGATCATATTTTATTAAAAGTTCTTGCAATGCAAAATAAATCACCAACAGAGTGAAGAGATAATCCACAAGGGAGGAAAAAATTGCCAGCTCTTCCTCAAAAGAAACAGGATCTAGAATATATGTTTTTAAAAACTCAAAGAAATGAGACCCTCCCCAAATTTAAAGACTCAGTCCAAAAATGGGCATCTGAAAGGAACAGAAACTTCTCAGATGAGGAAGTACAGATGGCAAATAAACATATTAAAAAATGATCAACACCCTTAGTCATTCCAGACATGCAAATTAAAACACTGAGATTCTATCTCCAGAAAGAATGGCTATTATCAGGAAATCATAAAAAATTCTGGCAGAGCTGTGGGTAAAAAGGAACCCTTTTCCACTGTTGGTTGCAGTGTAGACTGGTATAACCACTAACAAAACTAAGATTAGGGGTCCCCATCAACCCAGGTATCCCCTTCTTGGTGTCTTCCCAAAAGCATTAAAGCATCACATTACTGTGATATATGCACATCCATGTTTACAGCAGCATGATTTGTAAAGAGCCCAAATGGCCCTCTACCTATCTGTGATGAAGAAGATTTGGCCTTTTTATACAATAGAGTATTACTCGGTCATAAAGAAGGATAAACTTGAGCCATTTCTAGGTAAATGGGTAAATGCACATCAAGACCATATTCTTAAGTGAAATAAAGTGAACACATATGCAAATATCACATTGTTTCTGTGGTGTGAGAAGCCAAAAATGTGAATAAGGACCAAAATGTATAATAGATATTGTGAAATAAAATGTTCAGATATGAAGGGGAACTAGGGAGGGAGGAGGGGAAAAGGAAGGAAGGGAAAAGAAAAAATAATAGAAAAAGCATTTTTAAATAAGAAAGGGAAGAGGGGCTAAAGAGATGGAAAGGGAATAGAAAGAAAAAAGAAAAATCAATATGTATCATGGGCAAGTGCCAATTCCCTATGATGGATGTCATCTATATGTACTATGTACCAATAAAAGTAATTAATTTTAAAGAAGATGAAAAGATACATATGCCAAAAACTGATTAAATAAAGATGATAAATACATTAATGTTACATATGATATGATACAATTTAAGGCAAAGAAACTGAATACAGGTAAATGGGAACATTTCATACTGTTAAAATGCTGGATTTGGTGGGAATGAAAGAAATTCATATTTTGTGTATGCCACCCTGTCTGAACACGCATGTGATGCTTATCTTGGCTGTCGGCTTGGTTGGGCCGAGACACGATGTGTCTGCGGTGCTCCCAGGACTCCCGCAGGGACGTCCAGGCTGGGGGGCCCAGGGGAAGGGGGGCGGAAGGCACGGGGTCGCCCCTAAGCGGGTGCAGCCTTCACTGCTGCCACCGCCGGGCAGCCCCGCCCCACCCTGTCGGTCTGGACTGGCCCTGGCACTGTGGGAGGCCACAGACCCTCAGCCTCAGGCCGGGCTGCGTCCCCGTGTCTTAGAGGCCTGCAGCCTCTGTGCTGGTGACTCCCGGGGCACCGCAGACTCTGCAACTCCTGACCACGCATGCCAACCTCTGAACCCCTTTGAGAATGGCACAGGAGTCCGTTCCTGCAGAGATCCCAACTAACACGCTACACAAAGTGAAAACTTAGCGACGAAGGTAAACTCACAGTCCTAGTGAACACTTTAGGGGACCCGACCCCCCGGTTAACAAAGCAGCAAAGCGTAAGGGGGTGACACGTACAGTGGACACGGGGGACACTGCATGTCAACTCCGAAAAGCAAATTATCTGCAGTCAGATAACAATTTTAATAGTCCAGCTTGTGCCTCTTGGCCAATTTTAACACGTTTCAAGTAACTATCAGAGCACACAACAGCTGCCTGGCAAACGCAAGGTCCTGAGTTCGATTCCCAGAACCTGGATAAATAAGTGTCAAAGTTTATGCAGTACAGTAGCTAGCATCAGCCACGCAGTGCCATCCCCAGCACTAACATGAAACACGAGGGGAAAAGGCCAGCATTTCAACATAAGCATCTGAACAACCATCTCAAGAGGTGAGGAGGAAAACACGAATAACAATAAAAACACCAAAAGGAAGAAAATAATAAAAATAAGAATAGAAATGAGTGAATTAAAAGCAAACAGGCAAAACAAAAGACAACAAAATGAAGTCTGCTTTTTTAACATCAACATGTAGCGGTAGAAACTTCAGAAGATAAAACAGGAATAAAAGGAAAAAACAAAAGAATCAGACAAAGCCTGAGGCTGCTGGGGCTCCAGGAGCCCAACACGCACACAACTGAAAGTCCCCTGGAGGAAAAAGTGAGGAGAAGGGCCAGGAAAAGATGAAGAAATACCTCCCATTGATTTTAAACAATCTTACCAATCCGCAGAGCAGGGCAGGCGAAGAGTCCCTGCTGACGGGCCAGGAAGGGAAGCACAGCAAGCCACTGACGGAGAGCCACGATGCAGAGGGACCCTGGAGGACGGCCACACGGTGAAGACGAGTGTGACAGTGACAGCCACGTCGGACGGAGCAGGAGCTGGAAGAGAATGAAGCAGCATCTTCAGGCCTGGAGGAAAACCGTCACCTAGAATTCTACGGGTGTTTCTAGGGCCTGGGAGAGCTCAGAAAATTCATCAAAGTAAACACTACTCAGAAAGAGGCAAATGTCACCATATAGAATCCGGATCTAAATAAAGGGATGAGGAGAATCAGGGATGGTAAATGCATAAATAAAAAGATTTAATGCATTTTAAGTATCCTTCGAAAGATAATTGATTGTTAAAAGAAAAATAACAAAGCGCACTGAAAGCATACGACATTGTAGAAGAAAATATATAAAAATAACACAAAGGTGGATTAACATTCATTTGCATTTCATAAAGCTTCAGAGTGAGGGAATCAACTCAGCAGACTGACTAAAGGTGGGGTCTGCACTGAACATCTCACATTTAAGGTGATAACAGAAGCACCCTAACTCGTTTGCTATTTGAATCTCCCCGTTTCCTCTAGAGATCAGAACTTAGCTTCTTCTCAGAACACGTTTATGCTGTGAAAGTTATAAAGGAGTAATCAAAAGTGTCTTCAGTTATTAGTAAATGTAGACATATTTCATCATATTTATCTCTCCTAAGCCTTTATATCCATCCACTAAACTCAGTGCAGTTTAAAAGGTAAACTTCTATGAAAACATTTTATCATCTTCAAAGTATCTTCTGAGGAGCTGGGGATTTAGCCCAGCGGCATAAGGGCCTGCCTTGCAAGCAGGCAGTCATGAGTTCGATTCCTGGTATCAATAAAAATGAAAAAGACAAAAAAAAAAAAAAAAAAAAAAAAAAAAAAAACCAAAAAAACAAAGTATCTTCTGATTTGGAGAATGGGAAACATATATCTGAATCTTGATTAAATGTCTGAAGTTTACAGAGTTTTGTCCTCATTATAACAATTTGTTAATTCATATTTGAATAAAAATCTGAGCCTCTTAAAATACTCAGTATAATTATTTTGAACTGATTTTTTAAAATATTCAGCTCCATCTTAAGACATAGATATATTTCTTATATATTTCATGACCCTACAAAATTATTAAACATTTTAAAGACTAAAAAATGCAAATAAGGGGCTAATCAGAAGGTTTTATCTGATACAAGCTTAAAATTTTTCCCAACCAAATTCATCATCAAGAAAGGTTATGACCTGATATTAATAAGAGAAACAAAGGATCTTGATTGTCTTTGTACTTCAATCCTCCAGCAGCTGATACAGTTTTAACTGCATCATCTAAATGCAGCATTATCAAAAATAAGGATGAACCCCAGAGACTTTTATTTGGAACAGTTTAGTGGAAAGACAAGCTACTTCTTTTAGAGAAAGAGGATGAGTCTGAGACCAACACACTTGAATGACAATCCTGGTTCTAACTAGTGTTTTCTCTGAGCTAATAAACGATAAATGATAATAAATGTGAATAATACTGTGACTTTTAAAAACATCACCAACTTGTATATGACACTGATCATAAAAGCTGCATAACAATGCTATCCTTATCCAAGTAGCTACTGTAAATAAAGTATCAATTCAGGGAGGAAGAATTGCTCTGATCTATTGTTATTTTTATCTTATCTGCCGAATCTTGGTGGTAGACACTAGAATCACAGCTCTAAGCAAGAAAGAAGTCTCTCTCACTGGAGTCACTTCTAGTAGACAACACACAGTGTTTTAAAGATAGAGACCAGGCAGGAAGAGCCAGGGATAGAACAGGGTTCCTGAGAGAGGGACGGAGGGCAGAGACGACCTGGGGTGCAGGATAGAGCTACATCCACACTAAAAGGCACAGTTATTCAGACCTTACAGCTTAACACATTTGGTCTATAATAAAAGAGATAGTTGACCTCTGCTCTAAAATTCTAATTCTGAAGCATCAATGAATTTATGATTTGAGGAAAAAGGGAATCAGAAATAAGCTAAGATCCATGCTTGCTTACCATCCGAAGCTAAGATCTATACCCATTTACCTTGTAAAAGCAGATCTGATATTTTATGCTGAATTTTAATGATTTTTTTTTCTTTTCTTTCCTATAAAGCTGTGAATCAGAGTTCAACGGAAACAACAAAAATACCAGGTAAGTTAATTTTTTTCTTCTCCTGGTGTAATCATAGATCAAATCCCAAGAATGAGTCAAAGCAGCACAGTTTGAAAGCAGGGTGAAAAACTGTAAGAAAGTCTCAGCCTGAGCAATCAAACATTGAGTTTAAAGCCTGTAAGGACTAAGCTGTGACACACGACATCCCAGAGCTGACCGAGGTCCCGTAGTCCCGGCCTGGTCTGTGGCCAGCGGCCCTTTCCAGAGGACAGGGCGTCTTCTCTGTACTTGGAGCAGCATCCAGAGCTCGCCTCCTGAGTGCACTGGTGGAAGCCGCAGCCAACAGCCCCCACTGCCGGCTCATCTCTGACTGCCCAGAGTGCTACCCTGCAGGGGTAGCAATGACAATGTTCTGCCCCTGGCTCTTCCTGCCTGGTCTCTATCTTTAAAACACTGTGTGTTGTCTACTAGAAGTGACTCCAGTGAGAGAGACTTCTTTCTTGCTTAGAGCTGTGATTCTAGTGTCTACCACCAAGATTCGGCAGCAATGACAATGAACACGACCTGATTTTTCCTATTGTTCTAAAACTACAACTATGAGGGCAGTTTGGCACCTTCCTGCATCTTACCTGCAACTTGTATGAATGACAAATCTCATGGTTTCTCAATTCTGGTGCCTTTTTACATACATAAAATAAAAGTGTAAAATAAATTTTTAAAATATGCAGCTAAAGAAAAAACAAGAAAAATATCTGAGAGATTCTAATACCATGTTCACAGCATGTGTCCTAGGCAGTGATGGTCTACCAGTCACCTCCTTTGTTGAAGGAATTCAGAGCAGATTACTATGCTTTTAACTTTTAATTATCTCCTGCTACATAATATGACACTTTAATAAAGTATTTGCTTTATATTATTAATTATATTATTAATTTTCTTTCATCTCATCATTATTTTTAATTATTTCTATCTTCAAAATCATTATTTCTATCTTCAAAAGCATGCACATTTAGAAATGTGCATGCACTAGCTTACACAAAGCTCTGCACCCAGCCAGGGTGCACCTGTGAAGTATTTGCTTTATATTATTAATTTTCTTTCATCTCATCATTATTTTTAATTATTTCTATCTTCAAAATCATTATTTCTATCTTCAAAAGCATGCACATTTAGAAATGTGCATGCACTAGCTTACACAAAGCTCTGCACCCAGCCAGGGTGCACCTGTGAAGTGAACCTGTGACGTGTGTTCTAAGGTTCCCCCCGCTTCACAGGTTCACCACGGAAAAGAGATCAGGGGTGCAGGAGAATTAGGGATCCCCCAGCTGTAAGCTGTTGTTAAGGAGGGACAAAACATCCTTCATTCTGCTCAAGGGTTACATTTCCAAAGTTGCAGTTACAGCCAGGTTAAAGGTAGTTAAATGGAATATATAACACATATAGGCTATTTCAAATTTAGAGTTACCTAAACCACTGCTTAAACAGATAAGAGACAAATCATTGTTTGAATAAGAGAATAACAGAAATGAGACAACTGTAAATAAAAAGAAAAGCTTTTCTCATTTCTTTACTTGCTAAAAGCTTCAGATGTATGCTATGGCTAAAGACTAAATTCAGACTCACCCCTCCTCACAGACGAATTAACAAGTTAGTAACATGTTACCACCTCATACTACCGTCCAAACTGCTAATTATTAGTCTTACATCATCAGAAATGTTGATATAAAATTTATAAAATATTTATTCATAGGATCAAAGGTAGGCCTATTACTAAAAATAGTCTTGTCTTTTAGATAAAAGTTGGCGTAGAGTTCCAGCCCATCAAATTGCTGGTACTGCCTACCTTGTGTTAATGGGTAGTTGCTACAGTGCAGTCTTTGAATATATTATACACGGTTCTCCCATTTAATGTTTTCCTTCATCATTTGCATCTAGCTTTTATTTCCTTTAAAAGCTTTTATCACCTTCTCCAACAATGACAAAGTATCTAGATATTGATGATTGTGATACAGAACTGATGATTATTATTTGTTGACAGATTAGGGATAAGTAAGGCAATTCTCTATGACTGTGAATGATAAACAGCTATACGTAGGATGATGCTTAGCATTATAAAATAAAGATAAGCAAAGACAGTTACGATTATGTGGAAGCACAGACCAAGGCGTGAAGATGGGCCCATTTGCTGGAGCCCAGCAGAGAGGCAGCAGAGAGCTGTGCTTAATGATGCTTCACAGGATAGATTCACACGCAGTTCCTAAGGCCCATGGGAAAGTCAAACCTCAGCTACCCACTGCAACAGATCTTAGACAGCTTCAACTTCAGTAGGATCCCCTGCTAACCAGGATGGGTCCTCTGTCAACCACTGCTAAACTAGGCACTCAACAAGTGCACATTCTGGTCCCATTCCACAAAACACTCAGAGTTATGAGAGATGCCTAAATTTTCCTTAGGGGTTGCTCAGGACACCAGTCAATGTCATAAGTAACTGCAATAATTCCAGGGCCAGGTGAGTAGTGTTATGTCATAAAGAAGCATATGCCAGCTCTGAGGAGGGAGAGGATTATTTTTTGCTTTTGCTTTTGTTTTGGTTATGTATCCATGAAATCAGGAAAATCAGTTTAAGAAGGTTACAGAAAAGGCTCACAAAAAAAGTGACCTTCTAGCCACCAGATGATTGCCTACTCACTTTTTAAATTCTGGTTGTGGAGCAAATAGGAAGATCAGAGGGTCCACTGGAATGCAGCCTGGGCTATTCCCTCCCTACAAATGCAGGTAGAGTTGTGTGCCTGTAGCAACAACTTTAAACAGTTGTTGGAACTCACTTTCTTTAGCCTTATTATTTTCTCACAGACAATCAGTGCTAGTGACCTTTTAATTGATGGGCAATATCAGCCCTCAAAATGTCTGACTACCTCAGGACTTGCCCTCAATTTCCTGGGAAGTAGAACTCTATTCCTTCTCCTAGGGTTCTCTAGATAACTAGAACCACTGAACTGTGTGCGTAGAAAAGGACTCAATGTAAGAGTTACGGCTTGGCTCTCAATGTCCCCCCAACACTCTTGCAATCATAGCTGGGACTTTCCCAGAGGCAGCCAGATCTAGCGTGTGTTCCTGGGATTAAGGGCGTGTGATTACTAAATTAGTCCACTGACGGGTTTGGAGCCCGCTCTAAGCCCAATAGCCTAGAGAGAGCATGAAAAGGGCTGGAAGAAGCTGTTCCTTGTGGCTGGTAGCTTGATGCCTTCTGTCTTCCTCGCACCGTGACTGTTTCTCCTCTGTCGCGTGCCCTGGGATGGAGCATTCCCTCCTCATTCCGCTCAGGCCATCACCTGTCTGAATGTCAGGGACAGAACTCTGCTTTTCTTGGGCTTCATTCAAACACCTTCCTCAGCGCACAGTGTTGCACAGACACAGTCAGAGTAGTGCCCGGCCACATATCTGGACACAGTGGATCTCTGTATACAACAAGCATCCCAGCACATCCCCTCAGTGAGCAGCACAGCTTGTGAAAGATGTCAACAGCATTGCAGACATCAAACTTGACAGAAAGAGAGCACCAAGAGTAGGCATCACAGTCCCGCGGTCAGAGCTGGTTTCTGGGCTCTGCACTCTATTTCTGGATGTTGGATGATGCTGATCACAAAGAGTTCATATAAAGTGAAGCATGGACAGTTCTGTTCCAAGGCTGCTGGTTTGAGTTTTCTGTCTTTGAGTGGCATAAGGCTGACCCTGGTAACGGTTCGGCTCTACACGAGCTAGACATGTGCTGCAGCCTGGAGTAAACTGACTCAATAGAATGAAAGACACACAGAGGTGTTGTGTTGGGGTCTGGCTTCATTTCCTCTTGGAAGCTGCACAGATTCTACAGTGGCTACGTGGTTTTTTGCCTGGATCTGACACTCGATGAGCATGGAAGAAACTCTTCTCCCTGTTCCCGCAACATACCACTTGTTAGGGCTGTGTCTGTGCATGTCCCTGACCAAAGCCTCTTGTGGTCGCAGGCAGAGTTTTTACATGTGTGGTTGAATCTAGAGTGTGAGATTTTTTTCATGGTGCAGAGCTGGATTTAAGAATTCTGCAATCAAGGGTGGACGATTGCTGGACCGGTCCACTGACTGGTTTGGCATCACCCTAATTCCAGGAACCCAGATACAATACGAGGGACAGAAAGGAAAATTTAACTTGTCTTGTCCCTTGCTTGCTTTTGCTGCCTCTGCCGGCCATCAACTTTTCTCCTCCGCAATTCCCCTCTTCCACACCACCTTGATTTCAGTGAGCTGACTGTGGGCTGAAACTTCTGCAAACTTTAAGACAAAATAAACCTTTCCTCCTTTAACTTTGGGTGTCAGGTATCTTACTTCAGCAACAAGTAAAATAACTAAGACAATAGTTACTTTACTTAGTTTACTAACATGAAAGATCCTAAAACTCCCTTTAAGAACCAAAATGTTTCCGTGGTGTTGCTAAGGAGTACACTCCTCTAATGAGCTCCACACTGTACTTTATTTGCTGCATTAGAATTTCATCCTCTGTCTCCTTGTACCTACCTGCCTACCGTTTTAGAACTATCTAAAGAAGAAAGTGTTCAGCTTGTTTGAATGGGAATAATACCTTCCTTGTTGGGACAGATTATACCCTGCATCACCCAACAAGTGGCATGGCCTTCCAGCTCACCCCTCCAGAACACAGCAACTGAGAGAAACTCATGATACAGGCACAGACTGTAGAGCCTGCAGGGAAATCCTGATCCTGATTTCTGCTTGCAGAGTGAATCTGGGTCAATACCATAATCTTTTAGCCTCATTTTTGACTTTGCAAAACTAGAAATAATAATGCAATTACTGGGTGAATTAATATTTGTAAAACAATTGGAAAGGTGCCTGGCATGCAGGGAACCAAGAGGGTTTGAAAATAATATATGTGTAATGTTTCATGTCCATATTTAGGTTGACAAGGAGAGTGAGAACATTGTATCTAGAACCTTCCCAAATAATCTATGGAAAATAATGCACTAATCAAGTAAGAGGAACTTGCCT